ACGGTGGCCATTTTGAATGGGAATGTCCAATCAGCTGCAGGCGTTCATCTAATGATTGAGTTTTATTAGAGAATGCCTAGAAAGGCAGTCACCTATTATTATCCACCTGAAAAGGGTCTTGCTCTTCTATCAACCTTAATGTGGCCCGAACTACAGTGTACCTCCACACATGTTATGTAAAAATGATCAGCTCAGCTATTACTTTTATTGGCGTTTTGAGTTACCACGACGACGTGATTTGCAAACAAAGATGCCATTTTTCATAGAAGAACACTGACAGAACTCTTAACCACCTCTAATTGCCACAGTGAGGTTAAATGACCTGGAGTCAAGAGGTCTCTGAACAACACTGATTAACTTTTGGAGCCATTTTGGTTCAAGATGGCTGCCACAGCTACCGCAGAAAACTCTAAATTGGCTATGAATCGAACTTTGGTATGGTCGTAGCTTCAGTCGAGTTGTAAATCCAAGATGGCCTCCTTAGCTATAAGGGAAGATACTGACCTTAAATGTGGTGTGACGGTAGCAAAGAGCCAACCCCAACACTGCCAAATCAAAATTTATAATGGCCGCAACGTGGCAATCCCCGTCAAAGTTTCTGCAGGAACTTTCTAGTTAAAGTCTCCCCTCTGTCTCATGAGATATTTTGCTAACAGTAAACACTTGTAAATACATTATCATCACCCATTTGAACAGTTTCCAGTTCAGCAATCAACAACTTTGAACGTGCAGCGAAGATCTGGACGAATCGACCGAGATTCTGACACAAGTTTGGGTCCACACCGGAGTTGCTGAGACTAACGCTCACGTCTCTATTTCTTTCTAATTCATCATGAATTAATCACCACTTAGTGACCTCGGAGAAGTTGGATTTCATTAGCCGTCCTGTACCATCATGAGAGTTTTGTGCATTTGAATCCACCGACTTATATAATTATATTCTCCTTTAAAGTTGATTTTCAACATCAAAGGGACAATATATCCTTTGAAGCAGCATGGGATTGGATCAGTGTCTAACCCACTCTTTAAGATTCTGTCACAATGACATTAGGGAAGTCATGTGAATTAAAAGACTAGAGAACGGCTCTTTGCCTTTGCTCTGTGTCCAATTTCAATCAAAATGTCATGCTGTGCCATTTTCCCTGAATGTGGAACTGGCAAGCATGTTCCACTCACATCTTTGTGGCTAAAATCCTGTGACTAATATGTAAATTATTTGACAGCTACACTCCACGGGATTATCAAACTGGGCCTATAATTTAAAGAATATGTTTTTAAATCGTTGGGAAATTTGTTTGGAGCTAAACAGTTGTCAGTCCGCTTCTTTCTGACCAATCTGCTGTTTGAGATTAAATTAAATGGAAAACACCGCTTATGCTGGAATCCAGGACAAAAATAAATAAACTTGGGAAGTTATTAAAGGGATATTCCGGACATTTTGGAAGGAGGTTCTGTGTAAAAGCTGCAGAGAATGATCACGAAAAAAGTTAAATCAGGTCATCTGGACAGGTTCCTATCTGTGGCAAAAAGGTTTTCGAACTGCCTCAGTTTGAAGAAATCTGTTTCTTCGTGAAGAAACCAGCTGTTAGCCGATAAGCTAACAGCTAAAACCAAAATGGATTGATCTTAAATTGATTTTAAAAAGTTTTTTTTATAGCTGTCTAAGCAACTGCTTTGTCACAAACTTTTAAACATTTATCAGTTTTGCAAGGCATTGTATTTACATGGAATTTCATGGTTATGGTTTTTGCAAGCACAAATGACCACAGCAGCAGCAGCTAGCTGTACCACTTCCAGTGCATCACAGAACTGAATCCGGAGGGAATTTCACAAACGTTCTGACAAAATAACCACATAATGCGAAGTTGACAGCAACATAAAGGTTAAAATATGAGCTGCAAATGCTTATATTTAACATATTGACAATCAATCACTGTTTTTTTTTTTTTTTTGTGTGTATTACGGTTATTTTGGCAGGAAAAATAATTAAATTCCCACCGAATTACAAACGGGAAGTGGTACAGCTGCAGCTTTTTGTGTTTGCCAAAAATCACAAACTTATATGTCAATAATTCTGGGTCTCCTCTGAGCTGAATATGGACATCTACACCTCCAGATGCAGGAAGAGGGCCACCTGCATCACGAAGGACCCCACTCACCCAGCACACACACTTTTTGCCCCGCTGCCCTTAGTAAGGAGGTTAAGGAGCATTAAGTGTAGAACCAATCGACCATATGTGTCAAAACTCAAAGCCCGGCGGCCAAATGTGGCCCTTGTTGACATCTTTTCTGGCCCCCAAGATGATATGTGAAATGTAAAATACTTCTATGTCTTGAATTTTTTCAGTAATCTTTGATAATGATGTCAAAAGCACAACAGAGAACATCAATTGTGACCAATCAAACTCTTGTTTAGGAACCTGTGACCAAAAAAAAGATGTTGGGTATCTGGTTGAGTTAATGTAGATTCTGAAACTGGCCCTTAATTTGACACGGGTTTTAATTTTGGCCCCCTTTTGTAAGTAAGCTGAGGAACAGCTTCTACCCTGAGGCTGTTAGACTCATGAATCTTTAACCAGGATAATCACTAACTATGTTTACATGCACAAATTTTTTTTGACCAGATTGAAATGTTTTCAGATTAAATAATTCAAATGAATCGTTTACACGGGCGCAATCCGTTCATAACGAGCGTTTACATGCAGCGGGCTTTGTTCTGAACAGAAGTACTGACATGCGCAGAGCGGTAAACTCTCCTTATAAAAACCACAGAAGAAGAAGTTCTACTTCCTGCTTACTTCCGGGATAAATGTAAACAATCCAGAGCGCCCAAAATGGACCCGCGACAGGTTTTAATGACGGTGGAGACGTTACTGCACTCCCTGACTGAGCTACAGGTGACGCAGATCATTTGAGCTCTTTCAAAGTTTCTAGTAGAAATGTTGTCGCTCACCGACCAGTTTTGCTTCTCCGACATGCTAATATTATTAGCATTAGCCAGGCAGAAATGACATAGTCGCACATGCGCAGTCAGGTCAGTTTTTCATGATCTGAAAAAAATTGAGCAGATTAAGTGTTTACATGGACACCGTTCGGATTATGAATCGGCGTAAACCACCCGTTTCGTTCAGATGACAAATTCTTTTGGATCGAGCTGAATAAACAAAAAATAACCTGAATGGCCGTTTAATCCGATTACTTATGTCCATGTAAACATAGCTACTGTGAAAAATCACATCATGTCGCTGCTGATCTGTTTCGTGTCGCTGTGTTCATGCGTGCTCATCTGCTCACACAGACTCATGCTCGTGCTGCTGTTCGACGTATTGTTTTTATGCTATAGCGTATTTTTAGTTAACGTTTTTCTTAGTTCATGTCTTAGATCTTATTGCTGTTTTTCTTTTACATTTTATTGTTGGATGTAATCGAGAGGAGCCAGTTGAGGTGGCTCGGGCATCTGGTTAGGATGCCTCCTGGACGCCTCCCTGGTGAGGTGTTCCGGGCACATCCCACCGGGAGGAGACCCAGAGGAAGACCCAGGATGCGCTGGAGGGACTGTTTCTCGGCTGGCCTGGGAACGCCTTGGGATTCCCCCGGAGGAGCTGGCCCAAATGGCTGGGGAGAGGGAAGTCTGGGCCTCCCTGCTTAGGTCGCTTTCACACCAGATAGTCTAGTAGACTCGGTTTGGTTTGGGACCAATATTCATGACCTTTTGTTACATTTGAGCTGGTGCGTTTGCATTCACACTGCACTGTGCAGTCGAGTCAACCTGTTGAACCAACCTGTTCCCCCACTCGCCTGTGGGGGCGCTGCACCAAGAACTACTGAAAGAAACGACACAAAAACCTCTGAAGACACGTCTTCTTCTTCTTCTGTAAATAAAAATAAAAACGAAGTGGCATCAAGTTTTAGCAGTTTTAGGAGTTATATTTTGTCATTTTTCAAAAATGGACTTAGCATGAGCAGAAGATGAGACAGAAGACCATGGAGAATATTGTTTTTCCATACAAGGCAGCTGACGGCTCCATATGAGGTCAGAGAAATGCGTGTTTGTTTACCCTGCAGAGCTCAGTCTGTTTACATTCACACTGTACTGAACCGCGCTGGAGTTCGCTTCTACCGGACCGAGACCTAGGTTTTAGCCCGGGCCAGAGTTCGCCTTTTTGTTCCGTGACAGAGTTCGATGGCGCGTTCACACCTCCCCAAACGAGCCGGACTTTCTAGGAAAACGAGCTAGAGTTCGATTAAAGCGGACTAAACAGGGCTGGTGTGAATGCACCCTTAAGCTGCTACCCCCGCGACCCGACCCTGGATAAGCGGAAGAAAATGGATGGATGGAAGTAACTGGGACCCTGCGTACACAATCTCGTTCCGCCACGTGCACCACGTGTGTTTGACAAATAAAGAAACTCTGACTCTGACTTACTTTGCAATTCGACCTCATACTTTGTGATGAGTATCAAAGTTTACAACTTTTTACACAACGCCACGCTTCAAAATGGCTGGAATATCCCTTTAATTAAAAGAAAGTTAAAAAAAAAACATGGTATTTGAATGTGCTTCTCCTCGGTTACAGAGCACAATAAAGCCTCTCCTGTCACTGGAGGAGGTCAGAGGCAGCAGAAGTGTTGCTTTTGTTTGCTTTGTGTGTCTGTTGTAACAGACGGACAGTGAGAAGAATGGTGTTGGCGGCGGCAGATCACTTACTTCTGACGCTTCAAAGCCTCGGGGAGTTGGCTCGAGATGGCTTGTCTTTGATAAGGTCCTGACAAACAAACCGAAAACAAAGTTGAGAAAACCCCTCCATGCTGTTTAACTGTAACTTTAAAATAAAGACTCCTGGGAGAACGCGTTAAGGCCATTTTAGCCACGGTTTTGACTCTCGTGGCTTCATTTGAGTTTTATTTCGGAGAGGAGGCGCCGGGTGTTTGTTATGTATCTTCCGGGACCAGGCCAGCGGCTCCTCGCTTTGAAGTCCACAGTTTAAACCTTTAGCCCAGTTGGTGGAGCAACAGCCGGGAGCGTTTCAACCGCCTGCCGGGACTCCTTGAAACACTACCTGGCGAGGAAAAAGTCAAGAAAGAAGGAGGCGCCTTGCTTTTTTATTTGCGCCTGGATAAAATAAATCAAGGGTAATGTTGTGGGACGGGAGCAGAGCCGTAGACACAGCCTGTTGTTGGACTCCTTCACGTTTTTTGAATCGGAGCGGCTAACATGGATGGTAAGTTGTCGGGAAGCTGTTCCACAGGCCCCCTCTCTCGGCTGCTTTGATGTGCTGCCGCTGCGCTTTGAAGTGGAGAAAATGCGGGCTGTGTTTCTTGTTTGTGGGCGAGGAATACTGTGTGATAGATAAGAAGCTTATATGTGTGTGCGTGTTAGAGAGAGAGGGAGAGGGAGCATGTGGATGTATGAATGTCTAGCCCAGATAAAAACCCGAACATTTGTCGGGTGGTGCTTCTTTGGGCTGCGTAAAAAGTGTGATGTTTTCTCCAGTGCGCCTCCTCCTTCAGATTTGGACACCCCCTATAGAGGCTCGGAGCCTGCCTCCTCTTGAGGGCATTTGAATGGGACAGAGGAGGTGAAACTACTGAGCTCGTGGAGCGACGAACAGCGCGCGCATGTGGCGCGAAACGACCTCCTCAAGCACAGTCCGCGGTTGATTCGCGCTGCGCAGGACTCCCGACATCTTTTGGACACGATTAAGACAAAAACAAAAAAAAAAACAAATGGAGTGTTTAAGATCAACTTTTTAATTAGATTGGATCTGCTGTGCGATGGTATGTGGCTTTATGCTTATTTTTTTTTATGTTTGGCGAGTTAAAGTGCCCCCACGGACGCGCTTCTTGAGGAAAATCACCGTTTCTTTACTTTTTGGCGATTCTGATCAGATTCTCAAAGGCTTTGTAGCTCAGTCACGTCCCAGACTGTATTGTAAAAGAATAAATGCTGTAATCACCAGCCTGCTCCCCCCCCTCCCGATGAGCTGAAGGTGGTGGAGAGCTGTACTTGATGAGGACACGCGTGGACTGAGTGGAAACGTGTAAACGTGTGCGCGACGCAGAGTTCTTTGGATTTAATTGGAGCTGAAGCCTGTGACATGGACTCGTTAGGAAAACACGTGTTATAGCATTTTTAAGAGTGTGTAAGGTGATTATTCGTGTAAAATGGTTTTGATGTGGCACATCAATGCACGCGCAGAATGTGGGCTGCAGTTGATCTCTCATTTAGGTTATAAATAGATAAATGAAGCGAAGAAAAGCCTTTCATTTCGCCTTCCTCTGTGAACCAGGCGAGTTTCTCTGTCTTTTTTTTTTTTTTTTGAAAGGGACTGTTTACTTGATGTCTTTTTCTTTTGAAGTTCAGCAGGATCTGGCTTTGATTAGATCAATACTTTGTGTTTCAGAGTTGAAGAGGAGCTGAGAAGCTCCCCCGCTGCTTTTAGAGAGTGAGGATTTGGCTGCAGCTCGGCGGCTCTCTCTCTCGCACACACGCGCACTCAGACCCGGACCGGAGCTGGAGCCATGAGCAGGGCGCTCACGGAGCACCTCAGCAGCACCACAAGCTTCCGAGAAGATGCTCCCCGTCCTCCGGTGCCGGGGGAGGAGGGAGAGGCGTCATGCTACACCCCGGCCAGATCTGGCAAAATGAGAGCCCAGAGCAAGGTTAAAGAGCCCCCGGCCGCCAGCTCCACGCGGAGGAACGAGGATGGACTCGGGGAGCCAGAGGGCAGCGCGTCCCCGGACTCCCCTTTAGCCCGGTGGACCAAGTCTCTGCATTTCCTCCTGGGCGACCAGGACGGCGCTCACCTGTTCAGGACCTTCCTGGAGCGGGAGAACTGCGTGGACACGTTGGACTTTTGGTTCGCCTGCAACGGCTTCCGGCAGATGGACCTAAAGGACGCCAAAACGCTGCGAGTTGCCAAAGTGATCTTCAGGCGGTACGTGGAGAACAACAGCGTGGTGGCCAAGCAGCTGAAGCCGGCCACCAAGACCTTCCTGCGGGATGGCATCAAGAAGCAGCAGATAGACTCGGACATGTTTGACCAGGCGCAGACGGAGATCCAGTCCCACATGGAGGAGAACTCCTACCAGATGTTCCTCACCTCTGACATTTACCTCGAATATGTGCGCACGGGCTGCGAGAACGCCGCCTACATGAACCACGGCGCGCTGGGCAGCCTGAAGCTCATGTGCGGATACCTTCCTCCTCTTATGGAGGAAGAGGAGTGGAGCTGTACCGACCTGAAGACCAAGGGGTTAGGGTCTGTGGTCGGACTGTCTGCAAAGAACCTGAGGGCTTCTGCGACCATCCGGACCGCAGCTGAGGTGCTGGAAAAGAGCTGCAGGTAAGAGCCGCGTCTTTATGCACGTCCTGGACTGTTGATTTATCCAACATGCACTCCCTCATTAAAACTGTCTGAATATGAAGCAGGGAGCGGGAGCTGAAGCCACATGATCAAAGGGTCTCAGAGGAACATATTTGTGCCCTCCTGCCTCGCAGTTAGAGGGGTGGAGAGGCAGGGTGGGTACAAAACATCAATGCATCTGAGGCTTCCTTTTAAGTAAATAGTGTCTTGCAGGCAGCCCTCTGCTGGCTCGCTCAAGTTTCCTGTGCTTTGAAACCCTTCCTCTGGTTCAGGAATGAACCCAGACACCAAACCTCAGGACAGCTACACCAATCAGCGAGATGCTGCTGCCCTGTTTGGACCCTTTATAGCTGCTGCTAAACTCCTTAATCTTAACAAAGTTTTACTTTTGTTAAGATTAACAAAAGACTGGGGGAGTCAGATTCCAGGTGGAGATGATGTTCTTGGTCTGGGATGAAAGCAGAGCTGTTTGTGGAAAACATTTGCTTTTATCTGAGCAGTCATCCCACACGTTGTCCAGCAGCTGAAATCTTTTTTCAGGCCAGGAACATAAAAAAAAACTGTATTGTAACGCATGAAACCGCATCAAAGCGAATTAGAGAAATTCTTCTGTTTGTTTGAAACCGAGCAAAATCATTCTCACATCTGGTTGCGGTTAAAGGGTTTGAAAATGCCTTGTTCTTTTGCGTAGTAAGAAAAGTGTATTTTTATGTATTTGTCGAGTTAAAGTTGAGGAGAGTTTTTAGTAAAAAGGTCTCCAGTATGATTTTTATTTATTTTTTTTAGACGAAAGTGTGTAAATAGTCTTATTTAAGCCCATTTTAGTTTAATTCAACAAACTTTGTAATTGTCTCCAAAGGGAAATGAGAGCGCACAGGTAGTTTAATAAGGGCACAGGGACATGTGGAACATTGTATTAATGAATTTAGCAGCTGTGGCTGAGTGGTTAGAGCAGTTGTCTTCCAATGCAAGAGTTGGGGGTGCGAATCCACCAGCAGTCACATACCGAAGTGTCCCTGGGCAAGACACTGAACGGGTATGAATGTGATAAAGCTCTGATTAGTCTCTTTAGAATTATTTGTTCAATTAGCTTTGTAGAGATCTAGTAGAGGGCTGTATGAATGGGTAAATGAGGCACAGATTGTAGAGTAAAGCGCTTTGAGCGTCTTGATTAGATAGAAAGTATCAGTACAGTCTATTTACCATTTAGTGCAAAGAAACAAGAAAATGTGCACATTTGAGCAGTTTTGCTCCCTCGTGCGAGCACATGCAGGAAGGTACGGAAAGAACCAATGAGCTCTGGGTTTGTTGACATGTGAGCATGTTCTGCTTTCCTGTTGTGATCCCCAGCATTTGAGGGGAGGGGGTGGGGGAGCCCCGTTCTTTCACACAGCCTCCCCTACTGCCACTGCCCCTCACCATCTCTGGGTCAACCAATTTCCATCTCAAACACGTGAAACTAATTTTGCCACTGCAAAGATTTCGTCCCCCTCCCCTCCCTCGAAACACTTTACTTTCTGAGAGACCTCCAGCGCTGGGACGCTGAAGTGGAAGACAAACACGACAACAACAACAAAACGTCCTCGGCTCAGTTCCGCGGCTTCGACCACGGATCCTGCTCGGCGGCGGATCGTGTGCGTCAGTGTTTTCTCGCCTCTTTCTTCTCCCGTCCGCTGCTTTTATCTGCTCTCCGTGAGAGAGAAATCTGCCTGACAGAAACTAAGCATGCTTTGGTGGGGGGACAAGAGGAGGGGAAGAGGGGGAAAACAGGAAGGAGGGGAGTAAGGGTGGGGGGGTGGGGGTGAGATCATGAAAGAAAGAAGAGAGATGGGGAAGGAGTGAGGGGGTGTGGTGAGCCCAGCTGTGCTAAATACCTGACTCTTTGCGTGGACCCTCCAAAGGTCAGATTTGAGCTTGGGGCCTACGGCTTTAGTCATGCTGGGGTTCTCCTCAGCACTCCCGGCAGAAGGCATTCTCATAAAGAAAGGGGCCCTCCTTCCCCCTTTTCCTCTCTCTTTCTCTCTCCTCACTCCCTCTCTAAAAGCTCAGTCTCCCCCCACTCCTCTCCTTCCCTCCTGCTTCCTCATCCACCCCTTCAACTCCTGGAACAGGAATGCAACACAGCAGGATAGAGAGCAAAAAAGACAGAGAAACTTTAGAAAAGAAACGAGGGGAGGGTTGGTGAGGGAGGGGGCGCCCAGACTGACTGATAGGAAGGAGAAATGAAAGGGGGAGAGGTCCGAGTGGAAAAACTGGAGATCAATAGTCTGTTTTTTTGATTAGGCTAAGCAACTCATTTTCCTCCAATGAGCAAGATCCAGATATTGTATTTAAATCCAACAAATGGTTTCTTTTTTTCTTTAGATGTTTCGTCCTTCATCCAAAGGACTTCATCAGTCCGAGGAGCCACAACAAACTCGGTCCCACAAGCAGCACATTCACATAGTAGACGTTGTCTGTCCACTTTGTGAGTGCGCTGCTTGTGGGACAGTTTGCTGTGGCTCCTCGGACTGATGAAGTCCTTTGGATGAAACGTCTCAACAAACATAAAGAAACCATCCAGATGACCTGACTGATCTTTGTTGGGTTTTTTTACCTGGATTATTCACCATGAACTTTTAAATATTTTACATAAAATATGACAAAGAATAGAGGTTAAGGGCAAAACGAAACAAAGCTGCAAGGGATCTCGTTGTGAAAAGGTCTGAAAGTTTCCTCGGTCGTTCATTCTGTGGTAAATGTAGCAGACAGACAATTCGAACTGACTTCAGCGTTCATCTTCAGCTTAAAACAACTTAAAGGGGGTTCCTTTAATGCCTCCTCAGTGCATCACTTTCCTGCTGCTGCTCAAGATGTAGATTCTCACAAAACCTAACCCTCCCCATTAATCGTCCTCTCATGCTTTAGGCATCTTCTGCCGTTTGTGACCACTGCTGCCGCTGTGAACTCTGCTTTTCCGCCATGATGGTTTGAAAGTGAAGCTCTGACGGAGCCGACAGGAACACAGCAGAGAAACAGCTAAATCAGCTAAACATATTGGTGTCTGGTTCAGACCAAAACCAGGTTTGGAACTTCAGCAGACGAGATGCTCTGGTTTCACCTTTGGAAATAAATTATACGATGGAGAAAAGAAAAACAACCTCTGTCCAAAACCCTCACTGTGGTCACTGTTATTAAAAAACATAAACCTTTTCTTTTTAAACAAATCCACTTTGCACCCTCATGTGCAGGGCCGTCATGTCTTCCTGTCGTCCGCAGGTCTCACCGTCGAGGCGACCCCGTCAACCCGTACTTCGTCAACTCTGGCTACATCTTTGCCCCCGCCACCAGTGCCAATGACAGCGAGATCTCCAGCGATGCCACGACGGACGACTCCATGTCGATGACCGACAGCAGCGTGTAAGTTGTTTCTGTTTGGTTGTTCAGATCCAACGAGGTGCCGTTAATAAAACAAAACAAAATAAATTATTTCCAGAAAGCCCACCGCAGCCAACCCTTTTACTTCCCTGGTAGCCATGGAGCGAACCTCGGCCAGATTTCAGTCAACACCTTTCCAGGAAAACGTCTAGGGGTGTGAAGAAAAATATTTGGCCTTGTAACTCAACAGGCTGAGTTTTTCTTGGGGCCGGGGGACCGCATGTTGAGGAATAATGGCATGTAATGTATTTTAATTATCCTCTCCGATTGACTCCAGGTAATTCAGCTAATGTGTAGTTGTTGCTGAAGGCCTCTGGGGAGATAACTCTGGGAAAGTCATTACGTCTGAAGACCTTTTGAAGTTTATTCTGATGTGTTGCAGGCTGGAGAGAAGAGAGGAAAAAAATAAGAACGTCTTGATGTGGGTGGGGGCGTTGTCTCATTTTCCTCAAAGTTGATATGTATCCATCCCACCCACCCTTCTGCCACAACAGACTTTTTTTTTTTTTTTTTTTTTTTGTATTATCTAATCGCTTTTTCCCTTTGAAGAACTGGAGGAGTGGGGTGGGGGAGGGAAGTGGCCGTTTGGGCCTCAAGACAAACTCATTGAAAAATGTTGGCACCAAATAAAAGAAGGCTTACTCACATGGTGGGTCGGTTTCCTGCCACTGGCCTCTGCGGCGTGCTGAGATCATGTGTCTGCGAGGCTTTCACAGGGGTTACTCATTTCTAGACCCTGTGACAAAACATAAGGAACCCCCCCACACACACACACACACCCTTCCTCCCCCTTCTCCTCCTCATGGCTCCACTGGGTCACCTCCATCCATAAAGCTTCTTTCCTCCACCTTCCAGGGCCGCGAGCAGGAGTAGTGAGGCTCCGAGTGCAAGGGAGTGAGAAAATAAAGTGCACGGAGTATAAAAGGCTTAACTGAATCGCTTTCAGCCTATTGTTAGGTGAGGGGGGCTTAGCGGGATAAGAGGGTGGCTGGCTGCTTTGAAAATGACTTGCACTACTGAATAGGAGATCCCCATAAAGTGAGGGCCCACGAAACCATGAAAAAGTTCACGGCTGTTTTCCCCAACCGGGACAAAGCGCCTTGCTGTCATCTCGCATGGTTCACAAACTTTGGGTTTCTTGTTAGCAAACAAGTTCCTCTCAGCTGTTCGGTTTTACTTTTCAAAGAGTTTCCTGTGTCACTTCAAGGTTCTTGATTGTCCTTCGCATCACGTGTGGTACATGAGGTGCAACGAAACGGTGTACACACTTCCTGTTTTTTAAGGATGATTGATAGAAGCTTGCTGCAACTGGTGATGTCACCAGGTTCATGTTTCCCGACTACGACCCTGTCCACAGAAGGTTGCTTTCTTTCTATTGTAAAATACACATATAAAACACACCAGACACTGTGAAGAAGACATGGAGATGGGGATACAAAGCAAAAACTTTTTTTTTTCATGTGAGCTTTTAAGTGTCACATTAAACTAAATCTGTGGATGAGTTCAGGCTCGGTACCAGTTAAAGTCAAAGGGAAGAGTTTTCCCCTTGTTTAAAAACAAATATGAATTGTTTAAAACTCCTAATTTATCTTTCTTGTTTTTTTCAATGCATGCTTGATGTATACAGTAGTCCCTCACTACTTCGCGGTTCGTTTATCGCGGACTTGCTCTATCGCGGTTTTTTCAAAATAAGATTGGACATGACACACAATTGGCTGATTGATGGGTGAGCCGCACGGTCGGCATGGAATTTTTCTTATTTAAAATGAATTGTTTCAAAATATTTAGCACCTGCTGCACATTTGTGCAGCCCATACTGCAGGATAAACTTCCTGCTGCAGCTGATCAGCTGCTCACCGTGCAGGGCGGATAAGTGGGCGTGGCCAAGAGCGCTTGCATGTGGCAAAGAGCAGAGGAGGCAGGGAGCTGAAATCATGACAGAGCGTTTAAAGTTTACAAACATTGTTTAGAATATTGCAAGCGTGTGGGAAGTTTTTAAAACGCCTTGTACTACTTTTTTAGATTTTTCTACCTGGATTATTGAACATGCATCAGGATACTTGTACTACTATTCCTACTTCGTGGTTTTTTACTTATTGCGGGTCTTCAGGGTACTGATCCCCTGCAATAAACGAGGGACTACTGTATACTGTTATTCTGTTTCTGTTGTGGAACTGTTGTGGGGCATTTTTGCTGTTTTAACCAGGGCACTCCTATAGCTCGTTAAGGTAAAAGCGTGTACAACAGTTTAGCTGTAGTTGAGCCACATGCAACAGCGGGCTTTAAGGATTTTGCATTCTGGAGTACAGTTTAGAAACGTTTCCATGTGGCCCCAAAGCTGAAACGATAAAAAAAAAGGAAAAAATGTGTTTTCACAAAACGTCATTCCTGTGTGGACAGGGCTGTATGAAGCTGCAACGTTGAAACAAATGGACTAATTGCTGAACAGACTCATCTGTCAAAGTCTTATTCTTTAACTGGTTTAAGGTCTTTGACACTGCCCCCACCCCCAACACTCACAGTTTGATTAGTGTGTTCTTTTATTGCACTTAAAAGACTAAAAATCTGAATCTCATTTCCAACATAAAGAACAAAAAGAGACTTTTTAGGAAGAGGAGCTGCAAGAAGACATGTTGGGGGGTGGTGGGGGGGGGTATTTTTTCTTCTCTTTTTGCTTATATCTTATTTATGGATTTATTTGGACGCTGGGGAATGCTGCTGCACCAACTTCAAACATTACCTTATCTTACAAACCAGCCTTTTGATGTTGCTCAGATCAGAGGCTCGCTGCAGAACGCTTGCCAAACGATGATGGCAGTGGGTGCATATGTGCATGAGTGTGAGATTTCAAAGAGGCAGCAGAAAAAGTAGCGTTTGGGCTGGGTCAGACACTTCTGAGCGGCCAAAACAGCCATGATAATTGGCCGAGCTTAAGTGGCAACTGACTGGAAAAGCCAACAGACAGAATGAAAAATGGAGGATGAGATTCCCAGAGTTGCTGTCTCCAATTGTCCAGAGACTTTTAGCGTTTCTCATGACATCTCTATTTTTATTATCTACAAACCAGACAGAGTTGAGCTCCATTTGCTCTTCTGCTCAAGTCTTTTGAAGGTAGATTAAAACTTGAACTTGCTCCTGAAGTTAACGCCGATTCTTCTGCTTTTCAATGAATTACAGTGAGGCTTGATTAGATTGATTTATTTTTATGAATAGTCTGTTTCTTTGAAGCTCGTATCGAAATGTTAAGCAGATTTCAGTTACTGTCCTGGCGTGTTTGTTTTTGTTATCTTGGCTTTGAACTTTGCACAGTCTTGTGGTTTTGCAAAAATGTGCTTAACGTTTGACCTTTAACTGTACCTTCTTGTCAAATATTAAATTTGCGGAAGCACTGTAACCTATATGACGAGCAAGTGATTAATAAAAAGAAACGCCCGCCTGCGGTGTAGCTCATATGCAGGTTTTTTTTTTGTTCCCAATAAGGCAGTTTTCATCTGTGTTTTAGATTTCAATCAAAGTAAATGTTTGCGACCTTTCTCATCTGCAGAGATGGAGTTCCTCCCTACAAGCTGGGCACCAAGAAGCAGCTCCACAGGGAGATGCACCGCAGCGTTAAGATCAACGGCCAGGTCACGTTACCCCACTTCCCCGTGAGTCCTACTTCCTGTATTTTTTGTTTCCTCAACACTACAGATGCAAGTGAGACAGGAAACTTGTGTTAAATGAAGGAACAGTGATGCTCATCTATATTGTGCTGAATGAGTATTTGGGTCATACAAGTGTATGTTCTTTGTAGGGATGCACGATATTGGATTTTTGGGCGATATGCCGATATGTTAAAACTTATTTGGCCGATAACCGATACTGATATTTTTAAGTCAAAGTTTATTTGTCACATGTGGTACATGTGGTGGAACAAAATTGTGTACACAGGGTCCCAGTTACATACAACAAAAGTCTAAAATGTAAAAGAAAAACAGTAATAAGATCTAAGATATGAACTAAGAAAAACATTAACTTGAAATACGCTAAGCACTATGCTTTCCTTTGTCAGATCATAGCCCTCTTATTTAGGCTTATTTGCTACAAAAATTGTGTAATATCTGTAATAACTGGTGACATATATTCAGTAACAGCCATATGCATAGCACTTTAACTTATATTAAATGAAAAGTGTTAAATGTTATTTATCAGTCACCTGCGATGCTGTCTCACTTGTGGAGGCTTGTTCTGGGTTCCTAGCTGCAGTGTGGGATCCTCTGCACTCCTGTGCATGAAGGACAGCCTTTTTAAGTTCAAAGTTTTTGTCTATCCATTGTGCCGTAAGACTAATCATGCTAACGAGGCTAACACTTGACGTCCAAATGTCTGTGGTAAAACTCACCCAAGTGCTATCGGCTGTTAGCTTCTCAATGACAGCGACGGCTTGTAACTCGGGTAAGGCTACGTCGGAAAAATATCTCCGACGGGACGATGTAGCGAGGCTCAACGTAGTCCATGAATCTTCAGAATCTGACATCCTCAATGGGGGAAAAAAACTTCCACACCGCCGCCATTTTGACTTCTTCCTCCGCCGTGATCAGATCAGGTAGGCGTGTGTGACGTCATCACGTTGCGCTGGCGCTGCAGGCATCCTTGTCACTGGGTTGTCATACAAAAACAGCGCCTTTTGTATCGGTGAGTTATTTTGATGGAACGGCCGACATTTCACTTTAACGCTAATATCGACCGATACCATGCCGATAATATCGTGCATCCCTAGTTCTTTGGTTTGGGAACAGTTTTTTGCCCTGCTAAAGTTGTTGTGGGAAGGTTGAAAGATTTAAGTCAAAATAGGTTGACACAGGTTAAGAAGACAGAAAATAAACATGAAATTTCTTTTGTCTTCATATCCAAACACAGGTATGTTTGTGGAGGGGTGTGTTTGCGTGCATTTTCCATTTCCCCATTTTTCTCTCTGTTCTTTTTCTCTCTCTTTCCCCGTCTATCTCTTTTCCTTTCCCACTTGCTCTCCTTTAATGTCTCCCTCCTGATTTGGAGATGGCTCTCACTCCCATGATGCACCAGCCCCAGGCAGCGGGGGCCCCGTGCAGGGCTGGCGCTCCTTTGCCAGCAGCTCCGCTTGCCTTTCTTCTTCTTCCCTTTATCGTGTCTACAAAGAGATGAGAGGAACAACAACAACAAAAAAAAGAGTCAAATCAAGAAAGCCACTGTGCCAAAAAAAAAAACAGTAAGAAAGGGAGAAAGAGAAGCCAGTGCATATAGTTAAAGAAAAAGGAGGATAATGTGACTAGAGTACCTCTGAGCTGCCCTGCATGCTGCCTGGAAATAAATTACTACTTCCCTTCAGATCTTGCCAGTATTTGACTCCTCTATCCTTTCTCTCGTTCCTTTTCTGTCTGTCTATCTGTCGTTATTGCCACTCCACTAACGTACATCTCAATCTCCTTCTCTTTTCATGCTGTTAATTTTGTCGTCCTCTCTCTTTTTCTCTTCCCCCACCCCACCTCCTCTCTCCTCCTCACTCTTGCTTCTCTGTCGATATCTGGCTTTTATTCGAAGATTTAAAGCTGCGTGTCCTTCCCACCCCTAGTGTGCGTTTGATGTTTGACAAGGGCTCTTTGAAGTGTGCTGACTTCAGAAGCTGCCTTGCTGATGGCTTGGTCAGGCTACAGAGGGTGCAGGCAGGGGGCCTCCCCTCCGAGCGAGACCAACTGCTACCCCGCTATCGCTGCCCCCTTCTCTTCCCCTCGCCCGGCAGCCTGGCTCTGCCAAGGGCACTGGGCATGAGAAGATCTTTGGAGGGATGGGCGGTGAGGAAAGTTCAGGTTAGCTCGAGGGCAAGGGCGTGTGGATTAGGCCTTTTTGGAATAGTCGCAGGCATGTTGGACAGAAATTGGATTAGGGCAGGGACGTTGGATTAGTGCACCATATTGCATCCATCACCAAGTAGATACACTCACACATATCAAAGTGACCCGCCCCCTTGTGTTGTTGTTTTTTTTTTACCCTGCAGAGGACACACCGGCTGCCTAAGGAGATGATCCCGGTGGAGCCCTCAGCCTTTGCTGCTCAGCTCATTGCCAGACTGGAGAAGCTGAAGCGAGAGCAGGACACGATGAGCTCCCTGGAGGAGAGGCTGCAGCAGATCCAGGAGGTGTGTGGATGCTCTGATCTGAAAATGACCACAAAAACAGAACGCTACGATCTGCAAATCTTTTAAACCCACATTTTAGTCACAATGGAACGTCATACACTAACAAATGGTACCATTTGTAGGGGGGAAAAAATATTTGACATCTCAAAAAAGTTGTTCCAGATCCGTGTTTCCTCCTCTGAAGCACCTGCTCTTCTATTAACAACAGTCTGTAAATGTTCAAGACTGGAGGGGATCAGGTTTTGGAGTAAATGTTGCCCTATTCTGGTCTGATGGAGGATTCTTCTACTAAAACCTGTAGATACTTTTCTGCATTGACTGAGCCTTTCTAGACATGTGATCCGCCAATGCACCCCTATACCATCAAAGAGGCAGGCTGTGCACAGATAACAGGCTCTTCTCTAGTACAGACGACTTGGGGTCAGCGGTTTCCAAAAGGAATTTCAGATTTGGATCCGTTTGACCACAGAACGGTTCTCCACGTTGTCTCAGTCTGTTTGAAACGAGCTCTGGTCCAGAGAAGACGGCAGAGGTTCTGGATGCTGTTCACATCTGGCTTCTTCTCTGCCTGATAGAGCTTTAAGCAGCGTCTGTGGATGAACTGCGTTTCCAGACGATGCTCTGTGGAAGTGTTCCTGAGCCCAGAACAGAACCAGACCTGGTTTTATTGCAGTGGCCCCTAAGGGCCTGAAGATCACGACCATCCAGTGTTAAATTTCTGCCTCGTCCTTTGAGCTCAGAGGTTTCTACAGATTCTTCTAATGTTTTGATGGTATGGGATATCCAAGGTCTTCCCGTTTTTCTGGGAGGAGCATTTTGAAATTGTTCCACTTTTTTTTTTTTGACAGATCTTCACAGCTGATTTCTTTTTTTTTTTTTTTACTTCTGAATCCTCTCTTCACACCCAGTCCTCTCACTGACCTGTTGCCAATTCACCTAATTAGTTGTAAAATTCTCCTCCATTTGTTTCTGATTTGTGCCGCTTACTTTTACAGCCAAGCCCCTGTCCCAACTTTTAAAAAATGTGCTTCTGCCATAAAATGTAAATGTTTATCCGATTGTATCATTTTAATTTTTTTAGTTTCAGCATTGAAATGTTTGCTACGTTCCACTGTGAAATAATGCAAATCATAGCGTCCTGTTATTTAAATTTTAGTACATTTAAGCTTGGCTGTCTCTTATTCTGAAGTTCTTACTTGGATCGGTTAGTTCAAGTGGTGGTTCTGTGCTTCAGAAGCCTTTACGGCAGCTTTAGCATGACGGAGAACACGCCGAGGGATTGGAAAGTTTGTCTGGGTTCAGTCACGTCTTCACTGCTCCTCTCCTTCTTTTCCTGTTTCATTTAGAGGAGGCGTGTTCAAAGTTATGTTTCTAGACATACTTTAAGTGCCTTCAAATAGCACTTAGTTACTCTCCAGTGGCACATTTGCAGAATATGTGCAGTGCCAGTCTCTTTGTGAAGCGCAGGCACATTCTGCATTATAGATGAAGTGCACCCAAAGCCTGTTAGTGAAGATAACAGAGCAGCAAAAAGAAAACTTGCATCAACTTCTCCAGGCTTTGCTCTCTCCAACTTCACAGGATGATGGATACAAGTTGGTGGAAGTTGACGCACGCAAAATAAGATGAAACTCTTGTGACTTAATATTTCGTCAATGGCTTTAACTTTTAATTTTTCTGTTTGCCTGTGCAGGAGGATGAAAGGGAGGAGAGCGCTGACCTCGCGCTCCACCACCCTCTGCTTCCATCTTCCAGTCAGTGTGAGGAGGACCCGCAGGCTATCTTGGACGAGCACCTTTCTCGTGTGCTGAAGACGCCCGGCTGCCAGTCGCCAGGCGTGGTTCGGCACTCACCCCGTTCTCGCTCCCCGGAGCGAACAGGTGCCTTTTTGTCTTCCGGCTCCTTGTTCGACGCTTATCACGGGGCCTCCAAGGTTCTGATGGCAAGCAGGCAGTCCACAAAGCACATCCACCACCACTACATCCACCACCACCATGCTGGGCCAAAGACCAAGGAGCAAATCGAAACCGAGGCAGCTCAGCGTGTGCAGTGCCTCTGCCCCCAAGGGGGCGCCAATTATTCCAACTTCACACCTGCGTGAGTGCGACCTCGGACCTCTTCATGTTCAAAACTGCTCTGTCCTTTGTCCTAACTAACTCCTCCGTCCTCTTCCAGTCACTGCAGCACTTTGTCTCGACGGCCGGTCAAGGCCTGTGATGAGGACACGTCTTCATCGTGCCTTCCCCAAGTTTCCACCGACCGCTCTCAGAATGTTTGGCAGTGGATCTTAGAGAGTGAGAGGCAGGGAAAGCACAAGCCACACAGGCAAGTGTCTGTCGGCAACAAGCCACAGCAGCGTTTTGTCTCTTCACTGCGGATGTCCTGTACTGACCTCTCTCTGTTTTTATTCATTTTTAAATCCCAACAGCGCTCAAGGTCTAAAGAAGTTCAGCCCGCTTGACTCCAAGATTCTGCCTGCTCGAACCAACTCCTCCTGGGGTGGAGGTGGCATCTGCAACGGCGCTCACCTCCGTGGCCATCACCCAGGCCACCCTTTCATCCAGGATCCAGCCATGCCACCCTTACCCCCGCCCAACACCCTGGCCCAGCTGGAGGAGGCGTGTCGCAGACTAGAAGAGGTCTCTAAGCCGCCAAAACAAAAGTAAGAAGCTTGAAGCATTAATCTTGTTAACAGAACACGCTCGAAGTGATGTCTCTTCAGATTGGTACGAGTATTGATTAGTTATGAATGTTTTTTTTATTTTTAATTGAACAGGCACTCAACAGCAGTAAGCAGCCTTCAAAGGGACAGGAGCCATCTAGGTGCTGGAGTCACCGGTGGCAGCGCTCTGACCAACTCTGACGAGTACGTTTCTTTTCTTCCAACGTTGCTTTTCTAACTCTTTATATCCTCCTCGGTTGTTTTTCTTTCCTCAGATTCCCCTTTAGCTTTAGGCTTTCACCTTTTCCCTTCCAGATTTTCTCACTTCCTTTTAAAGAGGGAAAATATGAGTCGGCTCCGCAAAGTCTTGAACTTTCCTTTTGTCCCTTTTCAATCATTTAAAGTCGAAGCGTGCTTTAATTCACGCTCCTAGTATTCACCCCAGCTTGGTGTTAAAGTCAAACACAGATGTGCCAACTTATCACTTTAGAGGTTTTATACAGTAGGACTTTATTTTTTATTTGCTTAGAGCAGTATTTCTCTTGGCTGTAATTGGTGGAGACTTTTTGGCATCCGGCATTAGTATCCTCCAAAATGTTTTTGATAATTCTCAACCACCTCACATCAGACACTTGCAGTCCATCACCTGAGTTTTAAACCTGTTCAAAAAAAAATTGTCATATTTTCTTTCAAAACAGTCACAGAGTCGTTGCAAGTGTGTCGAACCCTTCTCAGTTTAGTTTCCATATATTCTGGAGCTGTGTCTTGACACATGGAGGAGTTCTCCTTTTGACAGAAAGCCTCTGAGGCTACGTCCAAGTTTAAAATCCATGCCTGTAATAGATAATAATGAATAAAACAAATGCTCCAAATCTGCATATTTTAATATTTAAAGTGTACTCCGGTTAAATCATAAACGAGGGAGCGACGACTGCTGAGGTGGGCAGCACCATAATGTGATCGGACACAGTTTTGCAAGCCAGTCGCACAAAAATGGGTCGTATTTTCTAATACAGTAGTCCCTCACTTGTTGTGGGGGTTACGTTCCAGACACCCCCGCGATAGGCGAAAATCCTCAAAGTAGGGACGTTATATTCGTTTACTGGAAAACTGAAACTCTGGCACAACAATTTCCTGCGGTATCAATAAAGTTCTACCTTATCTTATTTTATCTTACCTTATTTTAGTATTCATATACATGTATATAACGACTACATATTTTAAAAAGTCGACTTTAACATGTTAAAAGTTGACTTCGACTAGTCGATGGTGTTATAGGAACTCAAGACGCTATTTCATATTTGCAAAAAAAAATAAAAAATTTGCCAAATAAAAGTCATTTATTATTTACAACAACAAAAAAAGAACAACAAAACATTGGGCATAAATTTATGCCCCTACCATTTATCATACTGTAAATAAGTCAAAGGAAAAAATAAACTATTATCAAGATGCAAAAATGCTGCTCTTTTTAGTTTTATTTTATTTAACCCACCACGTGGATTGGGTGGAATAGGAATTTTTTTTTTTTTTTTTTTTGGGGGGGGGGGGTTGCAACTAGTTGACGTGAAATATGCTCTAAAATAGCACAGCGAAACAGAGCAGACAGACTGGTACTACTGTTACTGAGCCAATCAGCATCCGGGGGCGAATCGGGAGCACCGGGACATTTCCTGGTTCGGGAAATGGCTCAGCTCGGGTTAAGGCTCAGTTCAGGTCGCGCTTGATTATTCTAAATAAACAATCCATGCCGCTCACTCTGGTATATGCCACAGTGAAGTTCCCACAGCAGCGATGGTGAAGGACAGACCCCCACCCCTGCTCCTTTGTGATCACTGAGCGGGCCAGGCCACCGGGAAACAATGTGTACAATCTTTAATTGGAAACCCATGAAAGAGTGAGTCCACGAAAGTCAAACCGCGAAGTAGTGAGGGACTACTGTATACGGTCATTTGAAATGCAGCTTGCTGGTCGTTCTGTAGAAAACACTCAGATTTTGGTGAGACTGCAATGCAAAATGCACCTGTTATCTCAGAGTCATCAACATGTGTGAAGCTGTCAACGCACGAGCTACTACCCTTGTCCAAGTCCTTTTTCTGTTCTAGACAAATTCTCAAGAGTCCGACTCGGATTATTAAAACCTTTTTTTTTTTTTTCATTGAAAATTTTCAGGTCTAAGGAGCTGGTGGTCACCTACTTCTTCTGTGGAGAGGAAATCCCTTATCGCAGCATGATGAAGACCCACTGCCTCACCCTGGGTCACTTCAAGGAACAGCTCAGCAAAAAAGGCAACTACCGGTAAATTTGAACGCCACAGACAAAACAAATCTCACCAGAAAACTTTTTTTTTTTCAATTTACTCCCATCCATATAACGTTGTATAGCAAGATGAGTTTTCACTGTATCAGGAAGTGTTTCTTCAAGTATTTAAAGGGGTATTGCAACTAGGGATGCACAATATTGGATTTTTGGCTGATATGTTGAAACTTATTTGGCCGATAACCGATACCAATATCTTTTTCCCTAGACCTACTTACAGAGACTACATAGATTTATCTGCTGTGGAATTAAACTACTACATTATTCTGCACGGTCTTTGTCAGTGTGGCCTGCTACCAAATGCAGATGCCAAAAAGGGGGCTGAAAATGATGTAACACTTCAACTTGGATTATGTTTAATGTCAAATTTATTCATGACATTTACTCTCTAACACAACGGCAACACTCGAACAGTGCAAATTTGTCATATGTAATAATGCTTTAATAGATATACTTGACAGTTTCTTAAATTAAAAATCAACTTAAAACAGAAGCCTTTTGTATCAGTGAGGTTTTTTGATGGAATGTCCGATATTTGACTTTATCGCTAATATTGGCCGATACAATGCCGATAATATCGTGCATCCTTAATTGCAACGTTATAAAGCGTGATCGTTGAATACAAAAGACAGGTCTGAGCCATTGTCTTCAGAACTTACAGAAACGAAGAGAAAGGTGGTTCTAGAGTGAATTTTCTTCCCACATCTGGTACTGATTTCCATGCAAAGGCAGCCCTAATAAATATGGCTTTGAAGCATTGGGCTATTTTATTTTGTGTCCGAAGACCACGGCGAGGCCTTCAGATTCCTTCTCCACACTGTTGCATCAGACACAAGTCGGCTGCTGCGAGCACCTTGTTCTGTTAACAGTCCAGCTGCATTACAGCCTCGCTTTGTCACACGACCGGCAAATTTCTCATATTAGGACTTGCTAGTTATTATAAAATAATAGAGCCAGGAAGCTTTTCTCTTTTGAATAAGCTCTCCTGTGTGCCGTCAGCCTAATCATGTCCATGACATCAACATCAGGCCACATCTGCTTGTTGGGCAACACTGAGGAGAAGGCCTGCAAACAAACTCCCCCCAGCTATCTCATAACTCTTCAGTGAGCTTGTGAGAACGGAGGGTGGAGGCGAAGCGTCTGGCTTCAATGGCAGCAGAACGTGTGGAGTTGGTTAATTTGGACATGGCAGCGGTACAGCGGAGAACAGTACTCCGCGGCTCTGCCAGACGATATTGGTGCCAGATGTTGTGAGGAGAGAAAAATCCTGCAACGTGAACCATGTTCCAGTGGAAAGACTCCGTCTGTTGCTCCGTCTCCACAACAAAGTGATGACTTTGAAGTATTTGTGAGTGAAAATGGGGGGGGGGGGGTGCGCAAGAAATAAAAAAAGACAATTGGATTAAGAATTTATTTACTTCAGAGAGAGGAGTAAAACAAAAAGGAAAACCGAAACAGAGGGAAAGTTTGCTGAAACGTGACTTTTCGGTCGTGTTTATGGAGCTTCACCTTCATTTGTTTGTGATTCCAATCAACAGGGAAAACGAGGCTGGACGTGCACTCTTCTGTGCATGTGTTGTTCGGATGACTTTAGGCTGAGCTCATGAAACACTCAGCTCTCCCCCCACTTTTTATTTTATTTCATCCTTTTTATATTCTGAACACAGGCGCACATGGACAAAATGAGGCATTTTTCCATTACAAAGCTCATCATTAAAGCCCCTCCTGCTGATCTTTGTGCCGGCTTTAAAGCAGGGAGTAGAAATCGTTCGGAACTCCTGGAGACTCGCAGTCACTGGGAGGAGCGAGGTGATCTGTGACCTCCAGGAGACCGTCGCAGGATGCTTTGTTGCGCGTATTAGCCGAGCTGTTGCCACTTTTTGACTGGTGATAATGGAGCTGCGTGTTTGTGAGGATTGTGGTTTACGCGGCAGAGCGTGGTCTCCGACACCACAAACACCAACATGTGTGACACGAAGACCGCTCCTTTGACAGCTGGAGCAATTAGACGGCAATAAACACAGAGAGGGTGTGAGGGGGGTGCTTGAATGGTCTCCAATCAACCCTTCAACTTTATAAGGACCTTGTAGATCAGAGCTGCAGAAGCGTTTGGGGGGGGGTTACACAATGAGCTGAGACGGGTATGCTGTGGCCGAAGGTGCGCAGCAAAATAATGTGCACGGACAAGAACGTTGTTTATATAAACATCCATCCATCATCTTTTACCCAATTCTTCCTTTCGCGTCACTGGTGCCTATGTCCAGCCATCACTGTGCAAGAGGCGGGGGACACCCTGGACATGTCTCCAGTCCATCACAGGGACACATGGAGACAAACAAGAAAAACTAGGGGCAATTTAGTTACCAATCAGCCTAACATGCATGTTTTTGGTCTGTGGGAGGAAACCGGAGTACCCAGAGAAAACCCACGCATGCACGGAGAGAACATGCAAACTCCACTCAGAAAGGCCCTCAGCTGGGATTTGAATCAGCAACCTGCTCACTGAGAGGCACCAGCTCTATCAGCTGCACCACCGTGCTGCCTATATATAAACATTAAATATAAATAAATACTTAAAACAGCCAAAGCATTACTTGTAAATGAAAGGCAGAGAAAGTAAACGAGTTTTAGCTGCTTTTGAAAAACCTCAGTTAAGGAGAGACACTTCTCTGACATTAAAGGGCTGTTCCACCATTTTTTTGGGGGAAAAGCCCATTCTTCTTTACTAACTAGTCTAAAACATGGAACATCTTAGAGGACCTGCTCAGACTATCTAAGACACGTGCAAAAACTGAGTGCCCAGGGGCCAAACATGGCCCTTGTTAACGTCTTATCTGGTCCCCAGGATGATATTTTGGAAGTAAAATACTTTTATCACTTCTCATTTTACTTTAAAACTGAGCATACCTTATTTAGAGCAGACTTCTCAAGACAGCTGGACAACTTTGAAGCTAAGAAAAGTAGTTTTGAGTTTTACTCTAATCGTTGATTTTGATGCAGACTAATGAAACTCTTGCAACCAAGAAAAGATGTCAGGAATCTGACTAAACGTTTTGACTAAAACTGGACCACGGTTTGAAAACTTTAATTTTAGCCTCCTTATGTAACTGACACCCGAGGAAGAACTGAAAAGCTCAGATGCGTCTTCCAGGAATTTATAAACAAACAAACAAAATAATTTAACAATCATAACCATATTTAACAAGAAGCCAGTGGAAATGCTAACACTGGAGTGGCTCTTCTTGTTCTGGTACCAGTTAGAGATCTGGCTGCAGAGTTCTGAACCAGATGCAGACAGGACAGAGACCAGTTGATGCTAAAAAATAAAGAAAGAGAAGGGGATTTTTTTAATTTTCCCACGTGCCTCGCTGGTTTGGTTGCAAACACAGAAGTCGGCGCACGTCGGCAGAAAATATGTCTTTTTGGAGTCTCCAACTAGTTTCTACCAGAGACAGACGAGTGAGCTTTAAACGCTCTGTTGGTGCAGAGCCAGGGGCGACCTTTGTAAACCGACGGCGCTGATGCTTCTGTGCACAGGCGAGCACGTGCGTGAGGTCATGTAGGAGCCTCCAAACCGTTCAGAACCAGATTAATAAACTCGTAGAAATCGTCTTTTCTAATCCCAAACCTTTCTGTGTTTTAACATCTGCTCAGGTACTACTTCAAGAAGGCGAGCGATGAGTTCGAGTGCGGCGCGGTGTTCGAGGAGGTGTTGGAGGACGCCGCGGTGCTGCCCATGTACGAGGGCAAGGTCCTGGGCAAGGTGGAGAGGATGGACTAAAGAGCACAAACAACCTCCCCCCACCCCCAAACAAAAGCTAAACGTTTCCTAAAAACTTGAGCGACGGACTCGGTGTTAAAAACACTCTGGACTTTTTTATTTTTTAATCTTATTTCTTATTGTTAAGCTAAACAGAGTTAATATATCCAGCACAAGAGGAGTGATTGAAGGAAGACGAGCCAGTGAAGTATGCCGAACTCAGAGGAGGTGCCCCCCCCTCCCCCCACTGACTCCCTAAACCGATCAGCCTTAGAACCAGGGGGGGAGACCCCGACTCGTCCAAACGATAACCACTGAGGATGTAGATGATTGTTGTGACGTGACGGCGGCGCGATGGTGCAGCGGGGGCGAACCTCAACATTACACGCCGACATCATTACATACGTGTGCATATACATACATGCATATATGTATATATACATGTATTATATAGAGTTTAAAGTTTTTATTTAGTATTTATTGAAACAAACCCTCTTCCCTCCTCCCATCCTGTCTTCTTAAACCTGTGACCCGCCCCACTTCCTGTTTCCAGCCAATGGGCACGCTGCTTTGAATGTTGGGAGAAAACTGTGGGGGAACTGTTTTTATTTTTATTGTTTTTTTGTTAAAACACTCTCCTAACTCGTCCTGTAGCCTTGCTGCCACGTCTGGCCCAAACTAATGTTTCTGGTGTGGGTTCTGCCCAAAACTCCTTTATTTTAATGGTCAGGCCCGGTTCTATATGCTGCTGGTAGTTTGTTACATTTGTCCCACCAGGATCCCCCCCGCCATCATTGTCTCCCGCCCCCTTTTCCTCCGAGTTCAACCGTGCCTTTGTTTGTAAACCAGGCATTGCACAGGGACGGGATGGGGCGGGGGACAACTGCAGATTCACACAGAAAACAGCCCTGCTAATAATGGCAGTGTTTACAGCCCACACACCAAAACTAACAAGAATCCGAGAGTGACTTCCTGATGAAGTGTGAGGGGGAGAAAAGCAAAAACGTGAAGAATTACGGCTCCAGTTCCTTTTGAATGTTACAGTAACACCGTATTTACCGGAGCTCCTGCATATTTTTGTAATTATGCAATCTGAAGTATGAATACTGACACATGTGATGCACACACTTGCTGGTGTTTTCTGAGTTCAGCACCTGTGCCTACATGGATGCCATACCATGTGCCACCCTGTTTCAGGGTTTAATTATATATCCCTTGGTTTTCAGAAGGGTTTTATGTTGAAAAGATATTTTTGTGCTTTTAATAATGTCCTGTAATCATGTTTTTTTGTTTGTTTGTTTGTTTTGTTTTTACACCATGGCCTTTTCGTTTGTTTTTGTTTATTCTATCTAAACTGTAAATTATACATTCTATACAGAGTTTCATTTAAAGATTTACATGGAGCTATAATTATTGTAATTATTGAGAGATGTAGCCTTTATTAAAGTTTTATATTTTTCAAATGAAAGCTGAAGGCTCTTGAAGTGTGTATTTGTCGATTTTGTCCGCACCTCGTAGCATTTAAACTTGGCTGAAAAAGTCTGGAAATGATTTTGTATTTCCACATTCTATTGCTTGCGTAAAAAAAAAAAAAAGGATATTTATTTATTTATTTATGTTAAAAAAAAAAACCAGCAGAATTCTATCAGATTTAGTATAAATGGTAATGGCATTTTCTGTCTTGTCAGGATGAAACTTCAGGTCTTCTACTCCCACGTGTTTCAGGAAGTGATGAGAAACATCAAACGGCTAAAATCCCTTTTATGGAACGTTTGGAGGTTTCTCACAACAGTAACACGTAAAAATAAAGTCAGTGTTTAACCTGCTGGTAGATACCTGGAAGAAGGAGCTGTCGGCTTTGAGGTAATGAAGTAAAGAACGACCAAATAAACCAAAATCAATCAAATCAAGATTCAAGTCAAAATTAGGATCAGCTGAGAAAGGCTGAGCGCATAAGAACTTTACTGAAACCGAGTTCAAGTTATAGAAACAACACTAGCCAAAAGCTAAATTGTAGCTAAAAATTAAAATGCTAACAGTCAAAAGTAGCTAAACACTAGCTAAAAAGTAAAATGCTAACGGTCAAAGTAGCTAAACACTAGCTTAAAGCTAAGAGAAATAAAATGCTATCAGCCAAAAGTAGCTAAACACTTGCTAAAATTTAAAAGAAATCATTTTAGCTCACAATCCAGCGGTGGATAAACTTTTTGTCACGTGCCAAAACTGTCAAGGTGAAAGTGTCTGCAAGGCTCAAAAAATATGGAATAGTGTAGAAAAGTGGATAAAATGTGGTCGTGTGACCTGGTGGTGGATCCTTGAAGTGAAAATGATGTTGGTTCCAAGTTCAAATCCCATCAGAAATTTGTCAGAAGTCTTCTGGAACCATAGATGAGCCGCTCCAAACAAGAGCTAAATGTAGCCAGCTGGGATCAAACTGAGTAAATGATGTCCATTCCCTTAAAGAAGCCAAGTTCCATCTTGATGGTAACAGTTTGTGGTTCTTCACTATGAAACTGATTAAAAAAAAGAAGAAAAAAGTATTAAACTGTAATGTAACTGTAAATTATTGTATTAAAAATATCAAAATACCAAACTTGTATAAATATATATTTTTAATGTGACTTATCTGAAACAACTTCTTGAACCCAGGGACCAAAACGAAAGTTTCATATCTGCAGTTGCAATTTAGTGACTGTATAAACAAAGTCACTCAGAGGGCCACAAATGGCCCCTGGGCCATACTTTGGACACCCTTGTAATAGTTAAAAGTCTCAAAATGCAAACAATAAAATTAGAACAAGGTCAAAGAAAGCAGAACAATAGCTAAAAGCAGAACACTAGCTAAAAGCAGAACACTAGCTAAAAGCAGAACACTAGCTAAAAACAGAACACTAGCTAAAAGCAGAACACTAGCTTAAAGCAGAACACTAGCTTAAAGCAGAACACTAGCTAAAAGCAGAACA